TCCAGCCCTGCAAGTCTGTGTTCTAAGGTCCCTTCCAGCCCTGCAAGTCTGTGTTCTAAGGTCCCTTCCAGCCCTGCAAGTCTGTGTTCTAAGACCCCTTCCTGCCTTGCTAATCTATATTCTAAGGTCTCTTCCAGTCCTGCTAGTGTGTGTTCTAGGGTCTCTTTCAGCCCTGCCAGTCTATCTATGTTCTAAGGCCCCTTGCTGCCTTGCTAGTGTGTGTTCTAAGGTCTCTTCCAGCCCTGCCAGACTGTGTTCAGAGGTCTCTTCCAGCCCTGCTAGTCTATGTTCTAAGGCCCCTTCCAGCCTTGCTAGTGTGTGTTCTAAAGTTCTCTCCTTCACTGATGTTCTACATTCTATGTCCCATGTTTCATTTCAGGTGATATTCCATTTGTATTAGGAATACATTCATTTCATTCATTTAGCAATCAGCATAACTAAGAACCTGCTCTATGTAGGGGCCTGTGTTAGGTGCTCAGAAGGAACAAAGATGAGGGAAAGGAAGAAGCATTAAGCACCTACTGTCTTCCAGGCACTGTGTTAAGCATTTCTATCCCCATTGTCTCATTTGATCCTTACAACAGCCCTGGAAGAGAGGTGCTATTATTACCCTCGTTTTACAGATAAGAAAACTAAGGTTAAATGTCTCACCTGGGGTCACATAGCTAGTGTCTGAGGTCAGACTGAACTGCTGTCTTCCTTACGCCAGTCCCGGGGCTCTATCCACTGTGCCACCTGGTTGCCTTTAAATAAGATAAATAAGTCTTAGTCCTTGCCTTCAATGGGGCAATGCCCTTAAGTGGGTCTAAGAGAGTTATTAAGGTTCTTGTGCTCTTTCCTATAAAAACAGTCACAATTCCCTTTATGTATGTATGGACAGCACTTACCTTTACATGTCCTCTCTTATATTCATTCATCTTAACCTGAAATCTGTGAACTTGGCTTTTTTTTTAATATTTTGATAAATGTATTTCAACAAAAGTAGTTTCCTTCATAATCTTATATATTTTATTTTATGTACTTAAAAACATTCTTCTGAGAAATAGTCCATGGGTATCACCAGACTTACCACCAAAGTTAGGAGCCCCTGTCTTATAGCATCCCTGATAAGGATGTAGGTCAAGGATTATTATCCCCATTTGACTGATGAGAAAACTGAGTGGTAGAAAATTTAAATGACTTAGCCATCAATGGAATAATGGAAGAAGCAGGACTTTGCTTCAAGTTCCTTAGGTTGGAACCTTAGTCTGAACACCAGATGACTATGGTAACTGTAGATGCCACATAACGTCTCTGGGCCTCTGTTTCCTCATCTCTGAGATGTGGGTTTGTACCAGATGTCCTTTGCATCTCTCTGCTGGCCCTATGACTTTATCTGAATTCAGTCCAGAGCTGTTGGGCGAACCTTTTGGTCTTCTGGGTTTTGTGTGTTTCAGGTACGAACAGGCTTCCTGATGAATCTCGCAGGCGTTTTGCTGCTTAACTTGGCCATGAATACGTGGGCCCAGAGCGTCTTCCAGCTGGGGACCTTCCCAGCGTGGGCAGAGGACCACTCAAGCAATGTGACCACACTGCTCCTTGACAAGTACAACACCACTCTTCGACCTCTCCTCAATGTCTGAGCCCCTCCCAGTGGGGTTGCTTGAAGGACTCACTTGGAATGGGGCCCTTCCCATCCCAGCCAGGCCCTCCCAGAGGGCATCTCCCACACCTGGTGCTCATCTCCAACTGGCTAGCCAAGCAATTTTGTTTCTGATCAAATAACTACCAGGTGAAGAAAACCTTCGGGACTCCCGCAGAGGACATATTCCTCCTCTACCACCGCTCTCCACTCCAGCCCCCGACTCTCACATTATAGGACACAGCTACATTTTGGACCAGATATTCCAGGGAGCTACTTCCTTTACCCCCAAGGTCTCCCATTAGTATTCAGTTGAGACTTATTTCTGTAGGCCTCAGCAGCTGTTGAAGGATTTGGGTTACAAGAAATCTTCTTTCTATGCCCCTCCATGGTTTACAAAGTGTTTTCTTCACAACAAGTATTGCAAGTGTTATTATGCCCATTTTACAGATAAGGAAACTGAGGCTCTGAGATAGGAAGCTACTTGCCCATGGTCATAGTAAGAGTTAGACGCAGAATTTGTACCCAGATCTCTTGACTCCACATTCTGCGCTCTGTCCACTACACCATGTTGCCTTCCCAGTGAGGCACACGGCCTCCTACAAATTTAGATTAAGATGAGTCAGCAGCTCTCCTGCCGTGGCCACCTCTGCTCCTTGGGGAGGCACTGAAGGAGAGTAGAAGATCAAGTACAACAGACTAGAAAGTATTACCCGACAGATAAGAATTTGCATTTCTTTTGTAGGATGTTCACCTCATTAGATTATTTCAGTTCCTACAATGGTTTTTAGATCTATCATTTTTATACCATAATGTCACCAAATTTCAGAAAATCTTTTTTATTTTGGAGCCAAGTTAAATTCTAAGCACATGTACACACATGTGTGTACATATGCACAACACACCAACACACACACAGATTAAGTAGGCTTTTGCAGGATGCCCCATTGTCAATTGAGCACAGGGCCATGGAATCATAGATTTCAGAGGCCATCTAGTTTCACCCTCTCCTTTCACAGATGAGGAAATGGAGGCATCTCAAACAGGTCAGTGTCACAAGGGAGCAAGGGAATAGTTAGAATGGAGTATGTTGATTTGGATATCAAGGCCATGGAGTCTCTTGCGCAGATGGAAGGGACGTGGAAGACTTCTAATATGACCCTCCCTGAGCAAGAATCCCTTCTTCAGCATCTCATGGAGGAGTATCTGGCCGCTGCTTAGAGATCACCAGAGACAGGGAACTCCTACCTCCCAAAGCAGCCCTTTTCCACTTAGGGACAACTGCAACTATTGAAAAGTTTTCCCTGACATGAAGTCAAAATCTGCTCAACGTCTATCAAGTGCCCCTAGTTTTGCCCTCAGGAGCCAAAGTGAATGAGTCTCACTTTTCTTTCCATACAATAGACCTTCCTTTCAGGTTAAACACCCTGTCTCTCTGGTTAGTGCTGCTGTGGCACCATCTCTACTCTTCAGACCTTTTAAAAAGAAGATTAAAAACCAATCTAGAAGCCCCACTCAGAGGCCTTATCCCCCAAGCAGGAGGTAATCTGAAGATATGGTGACTAATTCCAAGTCCAAACTGGGCATTGTAGATAGGGCTGCCCTGCCATCTCCAGGATCTCCCTGAGCAAAAAGGGCTAATCCTTAACTGAAGGACCAGATCTGGTTCATTCTGATTTTCAGAACTTCAAGTCCTGGGTCCCAGTTGTGACTTGGACACCCCCATCTCTCCTGGCGAACCACATCATCTTCTTCTTTTTTTTTTTTTTTGCAAAGCACTGTGATACTAGCAGATTTCCAGAATACATAATCAGTGAAGCAGCGAGAACAAACACACATACAGTGGGCTTCTCATACAGAGAGTATCCAGGAGCAAAGGGTGAAAGACACAATACAGCTCAGAATTCTCAGTCTGAGCCAGTGACTTTCTCTTACCCCCTCGCACATGCACACTGACTTCCCCTTGGAGTGTTTATGGAAAGGAGAGGTGCATCCTACCCTTCTGGGCCAGACCTTCCCCCTCCTAATATGTACTTCCTTCAATGGGATGAACCTTACTGGAAGTTAGTACATGCTATCCCAAGCAATGTTATTTAAATTTATGAGAGGAAAAAAAATTGCCAATCTACCACAAAGTCTCATCTGGTTGATTTTTGTACTTTCAATGAAAGGACTTATAGGCACTGGTGATTTCCACTTATTCTTCATCTCCATTTATAAATCATTCTTTCTTTTTCACTCAGAATCATAGAGTCAGAGAATGTCAGCCTGGGGATGACCTTAGAACAGAGAATGTCAGAGCTGGAAGGAGCCTTAGAGCATAGAATGTGGGAACTGATTTTTCATTTTTTATGTCACAGGCCTTCGAAAATAGATTGTCAGAGCTGGAAGGCCCCTTAGAACATAGAATGTCAGCTGGAAGGGATGTTCCATCACAGAATAATAGAATTGGAAAGTCTCTTAGAACAGTGAATATCAGAGCTGGAAGAGAGCTTTCCAGCAATTCCATCTATTCCAACCCCCCTACCTACCCTATAGAAGATGAAACTGAGGCCCACAGTGACTTACCCAAGATACAACAGTTGGTAAATGACAGAGCCTGGATTTTAACCTGACTTGAAGCCTGGGGCTCCATGCAGCACACCTTGCACTTTGTGTATGTTGGGAAAGACCAAGCTTTCAGGTAATGAGATCAGTGAATAAGAACTAGGAGGGCCTTGGCTTTATGCAGGCTGCTGGCTGGAGGAAATAATCTCAGGTGTTTATTTCTATTTTGCTTTAATATAAGGATGTCTGTGAGGTGCCTACCCTCCCTCTCCTCAATTTACCCCACCTACTTGTTTACCAGTACCTGAAAATGCTATAATTTGGGACAAGGCCTTCTATCCAACAGTTAGAAAAGAGGCTAAAAAGTGTCAAAAATGGGCTAAAAACCAGGGGCTAAAAACCTAGTTATACTGTGGGATAAACGACTGATATCACCACCTTTCCAGGGGAAGGGAGAGGGCAAGGGAGAGCTATGAGCCCTGCAACTACACCCATAAACACTCAGTCTACCTTTAATCTCAGTTGCTGTTGATAAGGCAATTCTCTTGTAGTCTTCTGATGGGTTAAGGGGTGGGAGCGTATCAAGAATCTACCTGAGAGCCTAATTCCAGAGCCCAAGTGCAGACATCTTCAGATGTCTTGATTTTCAGAGCATTCTTGATTATAAAACCTATATAATAAAAGACCTTAATTGGAACCCATACACTGCTGTGGTTTGATCTAATTGAAGTAGAATAAGCATAAAACAGTTCCCATCTACAGCATTTTATGGTTTACAAAGTAACTTTCCCCACAATAACCTGAGCTGGGGACAGAGAAAACCACTCACTCAGGTAGATAGAAGATCTTCCTTTTATAAATAAGGAAATAGGCCAAGAGAGATAAAGTGACTTCTCCAAGGTCACACAGCTAGTAAATGGCACAGAGTCACCGATTCACCTTAGAGTTGGAATAAGCCCTAGAGGTTAAGTCCAGGAATCCCTACTTTGCTATCCCTGACATATAATCATCCAGCCTTTGCTTGAACATCTCCAGTGATAGGAAACTCACTACCTACAGAGGCAACCCATTCCCTTGTTGGTAGTTCTACTTGTTAGCAAGGCCTTCACTATGATGAGCTGAATTTCAATTCACTGTCCAGCTTTGTCCTTTGAGGCTAAGCAGAATAAGTCTAAGCCCTCTTCCACAGGAATTATTTTCAGGGGCTATTACTATTCCAGGTAGTAGAAGACACCCATTGTGTTGTTCTCATTTTCCTCCACCCCAACTCTTCTCTTTTCCAGACTAAACATCTCCAGTTCCTTCAGCCAAAACTCATATAATACTCTCTCTTTCCTCTCTCTCTCTCTCCCTCTCTCCTCTCTCTCTCTCTCCCTCTCTTTTTCCTTCTCTCTCTCTCTCCCTCTCTTTTTCCTTCTCTCTCTCTTTCTATATCTATCTATCATCTTTCTATCTACACATTTACACACACACATTCACACACACTCACACACACACATATACCTCCCTATCCTGGTGACCCTCCTCTGTTTGGTTTCACTCCATCTTGTCAATATCCTTCCTAAACTGTTCCCCAGTTCCAAATAAAATATTCCACATAGGCTCTGAGCAAGGCTCCCTGAAACCCCTGGGCTGGGATTTTCTCAGTAACTGCGTCTGGGCTGCAGTGGATGGTGAATGGGGGAAGCATAGGACCTCGGACTTGCAGCCAACAGCAGGCTCTATTTTGTATTTTAACACACTAACGGCCCCTGACACACTGGCGGCTTAAGGCCAATCCCAGTCTCTCTCTACAATTCACATTTCCCCGGCTACATTCATGCCAAGCAATAGCTATTTTCTCTGAAACTCACCTACCTGCCAGGAGTCATTAGGTTGGGGTCTGTAAAGAGCTTTGAGATTTGGGGGGAAAGCTTTGCAAAGAGAAAAGGCATTAACATTGTTACAATCCTGTTAATGGCAGCAGAGAGAAGTGATTCTTTACTGGACCCCATCAGGACACCCAGTGTCCTAGGTCACACAGTGCCTGGCAGGGAACTTTCCTTTTGAAACAGAAACCAGGAAGCAGCTCAGAAGCCCCAAAGCCAGATTTGTTGTGTTAGACACAATGTAGTCTTACAGCCTTTCATCAGATCACACAGGGCAGCCAGGGAACTAGAAACTAGGTCATATCCCTACCCCAGTGGACATTTCTTTATTGCACACTCACTCTCACACCAACTCTCAAACCTCACTTAGATCTTATCCAACACTGACTTTTACCGTCTAATTTCACCCAAATGTATACCCAAAAGTTTTGATTTTTCCTTCTATGCTTCTATGCTTGCATCTCCTAGGTAGGTCTCCCAAACCATTCACCAACATACACTTGTCCTGAGACTATGTCCAGATATTCCTGATACCAACTCCTCAATAGAATTACATACCTTTGTTTCTCCTGGCTGTTGCCCTGATTCAATGGGAGAAATGGAGGGAATCTTCTACGATGGTGTAAACACTTACTCCTTTTCTGTTTCAGGCCCAGAGCACCTTAAGATCTTGACAAACTCAAAACTAGTTTTGCTCCCTCCTTCTCCTCTTCCCACAGGTAGAGATGCTAATGAGCACAGTGGGAGTGGGGGGTGGGGGATAACCCAAGGGTTTAGAGAAGCCATACCTACCTCACAAGTTCCTGGCTTGTCCTGAGATAAGGACTCAGCTACAGGCATGGACAGGTTTGGCAAATGCTCACAAAAGATGGTGTGAAGAGCCCCAGAACTTACCATCTAACTCCACACACATGCCGTTGTTATTTAGTCATTTTCAGTTGTATCTGACTCTTTGTGACCCCATTTGGCATTTTCTTG